GATGATGATAGTGATAAAAATAACTGCCACAGTAACGATTATGATACTGATAATGAGCAGAATGAAAACAATCACGACTTTAAAGATAACAAAAATGACCTAAGTCTCCTTCCAAGCTGTCTTTGGTATGTCACGCATGTCACGCAACCCTGGAAGAAAATTCACTGTTAAATTAATTCTGTTACAAATATTGAAATACCTATTCATGTCTGTAGGCTTTCAGAGAGGCTGTTACTCTGAAGGGTACAAGAAGAGTGGTAGCCATTGAAGACGTTCCACCCTATCAGATATGGAATGAGGTTTGTTATCAACAGCTTCTTTTTTATGTAATTTTCCAGCGATATCACTAACTGTCATGTTTTGATTCTTGTTAGCTTGGAATAGGAGTGAAACTTCGTCCGGGAAAACAGCTTATGGTATGTTGTCGTCGTACTTTTCTTGGCTCCAAAATTCCTGAATCTTCTTTTTCCTCTTTCTTTGAAGCGGAATTTGATAGATGCTGCAAGTCAGGATGAAAAATCGTGAATGTTAAACAAGTTCAGTTTGAAAAAGAAACCTTTTCTTAACGGATACTAACGGGGTCCCGTTTGTGTTCGATCAAGATAGTTTGTATACTCGTCTGTTAAGAGGACGTCAAAGAAATCCCGTCCTAGTCTTCTTTAAAGTGAAGAAAAGTTATAGCCATTGAACGCGTGTTATGTGAAAGGAGCCATATCAAGGTTTGCGTTAGAACAATTTTCAATTCACAGTCTTAAGAAATCCGAGATTGCGTTACTTTGTTCTGTCCAAAAAACTGGCGTCACTCTGTCAAAAATCAGAATCCAAACCTTAAACCAACCATGACTTAGTCGCCCGCGTTTTCCCGCGCTTTAGGCAGTTTGGTTGTTTTTACTTGGAGTTCTCATTGGCTCTTAGAGATATTTTCCTTTCCTCTGATTGGACGTTGTGGTTACTTCGGTTTTGCTTCAGCTGTACTCGGTGTGCATTGTATTTAATTGTGTATTTGTGTTATGATAGATTGCAAGCGGGGTTGATCGAGATGGCATGATTACAGTGCTTCCAGGTCAAAGGCTTTCCCTACGCTTTGCCAAAGGCGTTCACAAAAGAACCACCCGATACGAAAGAGCAAATAATACATCCGGAGGAGCGGGGCCTAGTATTGGTGTTGAGGTGAGAACAGCCAATAAACTCAAACTTCCAGATGTAGTGGATGTGTATTTTCGCTAAAAGAAACTGGGATAGAGAATGGTTTGAAACCAGAAGTAACAGCTGATCGTGTAGTCTGATCGTCCGGGTTTGAGTAGTCCACAGAAAAACTGTTGTCGCCAGCAGTAACTAATGTTTCAGTAACCTTAGCGGCAGTCATTATTACAGTCAAGTGTCAGTTTGGTTCGTATAAACTGATTGCTTAATTTTGTCGTGATGGTATTTGGTGTAAGAATCAGTCAGCGTTAGTCATGCGTCTTTTGGCGTGTAAATGTGATTAAATCTTTTGTATGGTGCTAGTGGTTGTATACATATTTTGCGGGGAGACTTTTTCAAGTAAAGAACCAGCTTTTCAGCTGCAGTTACAAAGAAATCCGAGGATAACATTTATTTCGTCTGTCTGCAGTGCCCAAAAAATCACAAAACTTGGAATCCTAAGAAACCCTGAC